GTGTAAATCAGTGATCACCCATTCCTGATCCATGTCGGGAAATGGGGAAGAGGGGGTGTAAATCAGTGATCACCCATTCCTGAGCCATGCCGGGAAATGGGGAAGAGGGGGTGTAAATCAGTGATCACCCATTCCTGATCCATGCCGGGAAATGGGGAAGAAGGGGTGTAAATCAGTGATAACCATTCCTGATCCATGCCGGGAAGTGGGGGGAGCAGGCCAAAAATCAGAGGTCCCCACTCCTTCTGCATCACAACTTTGGGAGCAACAAGGGCTGTAAATCAGCGATCCCCACTCCTGCATTAGTCCTGCCCGGGGGTAATGGGGGTGTGAAACCGAGATCCCTATTCCTGCTTCATTGCGGGAAATGGGGGAAGGAGGGGTGTAAAACCGAGGTCCCTATGTCTGCTGCATCGGCGGAAATGGGGGAAGGAGGGGTGTGAAACCGAGGTTCCTATTCCTGCTTCATTGCGGGAAATGGAGGAAGAGAGGGTGTAAACCAGAGCTCCCCATTCCTGTTGCATCCCAGGATGTGGGGAGCAGGGCAAAAAACAGTGATCCCCTCTCCTGCCCCATCCCGGCCTGGAGGGGAGCAGGAATGTGAATTTGAGCTCCTCATTCCCGCTGCATCCCGGCCTGGAGGGCAGAGGGGATGTGAACCAGAGCTCCCCATTCCCGCTGTATCCCGGCATGGAGGGGAGCGGGATGTGAATTTGAGCTCCCCATTCCCGCTGCATCCCGGCATGGAGGGGAGCGGGATGTGAATTTGAGCTCCCCATTCCTGCAGCATCCCGGCATGGAGGGGAGCGGGATGTGAACCAGAGCTCCCCATTCCTGCAGCATCCCGGCATGGAGGGGAGCGGGATGTGAACCAGAGCTCCCCATTCCCGCTGCATCCCGGCATGGAGGGGAGCGGGATGTGAATTTGAGCATTCCCGCTGTATCCCGGCATGGAGGGGAGCGGGATGTGAATTTGAGCTCCCCATTCCCGCTGTATCCCGGCATGGAGGGGAGGGGGATGTGAGTTTGAGCTCCCCATTCCCGCTGTATCCCGGCATGGAGGGGAGCAGGATGTGAATTTGAGCTCCCCGTTCCCGCTGGATCCCGGCCGGGCTCCTCAGGGACGCTCTCCCCGCTGTCGCTGCCCGCCCCTCGCCCCTCGGCCCTGGCCCAGCACAGAACGCGGTCGCTCGCTGCTGCCCCGGGATCAGGGATGCATTTCCCCTCTCCCGGCCTTCCAGTGCCCGCTATGGATTTTCTGCGAAATCCCTTCAGAAATGGCAGAGGAGCTCGTGGCCTTCCCCAAAAACCGCTCGCCCGAGCTCCGGGGAAGGTGGGAGTGCTCGGGAGGGACGAGGCAGCTCTGCTGGGCCGTGTGGGGCATTCCTGGGGGGAATGTGTTCCACCCGGGGCCTGGAGCACCAGGGAAACACCGCCTGGGCTGGGCTGTGAGGACGAGGTGGAAAACTGCTGGCTCTTCTGCCCAGGACCGAAACTGGCTGGGGCTTGGAACAGGTTTGCAAACCCGGTGGTGAATGGTAATACAATAAAAAAAATTAGGAAACACATCCACCATCCTCATCCTCTTCCCGGTGCCTCCCTGAGCCCCAGGCCGGGGCTGCGGGCCGCCAGCAGCATCAGCAGTGCCGGGGCCAGCCTGGCTCCCCTGACCTGCGGGACAGGGGCTGTGGGGGCGTTGTGCTGCTCCTTCGGGGGCTGCAAGACAAATCTGGTCATGGCTGCCTTCAAAAGTTACCCCGGGCCTTCCTCCTTCCTTCATTCTTCCTTCCTTCCCCTCTGCTCCGGCCAGGCTGGAGTCACCTGTCGCGACAGATTCGGATCGAGATCCCTATCGCAGCTTTTAAACAGAGCCATCAAAGGATCCTCTCGCCTCTCCTGTGACACCAGCCCAGCCCAAAAGGCTTTCCTGTGACACCAGGACACCCGAAAAGGCTCTCATGAGACACCAGCCCACCCCAAAAGGCTCTCCTGTGAAACCAGCCTGCCCCAAAAGACTCTTCTGAGACGTGAGCCCATCCCAAAAGGCTCTCCTGTGAATCTAGCCCGCCGCACTGCGACACCAGCCCACCCCAAAGGGCTCTCCAGAAACACCAGCCCACCCCAAAAGGCTCTCACAAGACACAATCCCACCCCAAAGGGCTCCCCTTTGACACCAGCCCACCCCAAAGGGTTCTCATGAGACACAATCCCGCCCAAAGGGCTCCCCTTTGACACCAGCCCACCCCAAAGGGTTCTCATGAGACACAATCCCACCCCAAAGGGCTCCCCTATGACACCAGCCCGCCCCAAAGGTCTCCCCGTGGGGTGTTTGGGGTGACAGGGGACGGGGCCCATGGGACAGAAGGGGACACAGCAAGGGGACACAGCAGAGGGACGATGCTCACAGCCCCGCAGGAGCTCTCCAGAGGGGACGGGAGCGGCACAGATCCCATGAGGGAGCGTCCTGCGGGGTGAGGTGGGGAAAGAAACACCAAAAAAAGGAGTTTTGGGGGAAAAGGGATGCCAGGAACTGTCCAGCAGCAGAGCCCTGGGGGTGTCCCTGATGCCGGTGCCGAATCCCATCCCTGCCTGAGGAAAAGGGTCCCCAAATTCCCAGCGCCCGGCTGGGAGCATCCCGGGATTGCTCCACGCGGGTGGGAAAAGCCTCAGCAGGCGCCTGACCTCAGGCATCTCCCCCCACAGCGACCCCGGCACCCACGCAGGAAAAAAATCCCACGGGAAGATGGTCTGGACCAGGGGAGAATTCTTTCCCAATTCGTATTTTTTCCCCCCTTTTCCTCTTATTTATTTTCGTTTCACCGTTTTGCTCCCTTGATTTCCCTATATTTTAATCCTTTACACTCTGTGTTTTCTCTTATTAAGAAAGCACTTTGACTTTTGTTTCATAAAAAAATAATAAAAAAAGAAGAAAATAGAAAATTAGATAAAAAACACCCTCCGAGAGCCAGGAAAAAACGGCGGGGAGTTTTTTTTACAAGAATGTTCCTTAAAATACAGATCAAGTAAGGTTCAGACATTTTTTTCTCATTTAAATCGAGAGTTTCGCTGCTTTTTGCCAGCTTTCAAGCGCAGGCGAAATTCAGCCGGTCAAAACCAATTTAGATCATCGATTTTAACAGCCTGACGTGGGTAAAACCCCTCCCGAACCCAAAAAAAGGGGTTTTTAGGGGCACTGGGGGGCTGCGAGAGGTGGGATGGGGCACGGTTGGGATTTTTGGCTGCATGGATGCGATTTTACAGCTGGGAAAGGAGCCTGGCTCCAGAAATCTGGGCTTGAAAAGTTCCAAAGACCTCCTAAACTCGGCTTTAGGCTTTGCCGGCATTCCCAGGCTCTCGGGATTGCTAAATCCGGCGCTTTGCCCTGGATTAAAAAAAAAAAAACTTGAACAGGTTAAAAGATGATTTGGGAAAAGCCAGAATAGCTGGCAGCGCCCGGCCTTGCGAACAGGAGCTTCAATAAATGAAAAAAAAAAAAAAAAAAAAAAGTTAAAATCAGCCAATTCTTCAACCAAGAGAGGATTTCAAACCCGAAACGATTCTCGAGTGAACTTTTCCACCTTTCTAAGACTCCGCAGCGAGGCCGGGTTGAAAGGATCGCTCTGACTCCCAGGCACTCGGGATTCCTTTCAAGAAAACCAAATAAATAAAGAAATGAAATGGGATTTTTTTAGGGGGGGTCGGGTGTTTGCTGCCTTGGAAAGAGGCGGCTCCGGGCGTGCAAGGGCCGCGCTCGCAAGGACGGGGCGAGAGGAGCAGAAATTCCCCTCCCTGCGCCTCCTGTTTTCCTGTTTTCCCCATGGCAGGCCTGGGAAAACTCCCGAAATTTCAACCCTGGCAGGGATTTGGGATTGAGGGGGCTCAGCCCCGCTGTGGTTTTCCTTCCTCACCCTCCCCAGTTGCACAATTCCGGCTCTTCACGTGAATTCAACCTTGTCTCCAAGAAAGAAACCTCCAGGAAAATCAGTTTTTGTTTTAAAAACAAACCACTGCCACGTTTTCTGCGTGAAGGAAGGGAAAAAAAAAAACCAAAACCTGTTAAAAAAATCCCCGGTTTATACACAGAGAAGCGGCAGACTTGGAGCAGAAAAAACCAGCATGGATTTATTTTAAGGTAAGTACAACAATTAGGACCACATAAGACAAACGAACTTGGAAGCAGGTTAAAGCAAATAGTCCTTAGGAATGGTAAAGGTGAAATCTATTATACAAAACATCACACGTCGTAAATAATAATAAAAAAGTATCAGATACTTTGTCTATTTTTTTTCCTTAAAAAAAAAAAATCCACCAGCAAAAAATAAATTATTTCCTCGTCTTGCGAAAAGAACAGCTCTAAAACGAAAGAAAATCTATTGCATAATTGTACACAGAAGAAGAAAAAGAAGAAATCACTTGTCATGAATTTGGAAGTTAGGAACCGTTGGGCGAGACAAAAATAATCCAGTGAACTCAACTTTAAATATTATATTAATGGCTCTGAAAATCAGCCTGATTAGAAATCCACATATTTTTTACAGCACAACAGAGAACTCAAAAAATACCCAGGACATATATTTATATATATATTTATAAACTTTTTTTTTCCTTTTAAAACGTATAAATGGTTGTTGTGATATTGGTCCATAACTTATTTTTCTGAGTCCCCCTATACTTTAGCATATAAAATTTGCCACTTTTAGATAGACATATATATATATAATTTTTTTCACCTTTTTCTTTTCTTTCTTTTTTTTTCTTTTTCAAATGAGAGATCCCCCTTTTTTTTTTTTTTTTCAAGTAAAATCTACTTGTCCGGAATTTAAGGAAAACTTTTTGGGAATCTTCAAACTCTGTGGCCACAAAGTCCACGGGGAAGCTGTCAGATTTATTTTTATTGCCGTGGGTTTATTTCTCCCGATTTTTAAAAAATAATTATTATTAATAATTATAATTTTTATTTTTTTTTTTAATGGGCCTAAGCGGGGTTTACTGGCGGCTACTCAGTACTTAGTGCAGTCGTAGGAGTAGGGGGCGGCGTGGCGATATAGGGAGGGCGCGGATCTGTAGGGGATCTGACAGGCGGAGTTGCTGCTCACCTGGTGCTCGCTCAGCGCCGCGCTCTCCATCCCCAGCCGGTGCGACGTGAACATTTCCCGCACGTTGGGAAAAGTCTGCTGCTGAGAGCCGAACGTGTGCCCGGACAGGTGGCTCAGCTCAGCGCCGTGGTTCAGGTACCAAGAAGCCGCAGGCTGTCCCCCCGCTGCTGCTGCTGCCGCCGCCCCTCCGCTTCCTCCTCCTCCTCCTCCTCCTCCTCCGTGGGGATGCCCGGTGCCCAGCGCTCCGTCCTGCCCCGCGGGCAGGCTCAGCGTGCCCAGCGGCGACGGGGCGCCGGTGGGATGCTCGGCCAGCCCGTCCTCCATGGGAGCGCACATGTGCGCGGTTCTGTCGCCGCTGTAGAGGCTCATGGCCCGCATGCTGCAGTGGTAGCTCCCACTAGTGTCCAGCGCCTGGCCGCAGGCCGCGCCGTACCCCGACGGCTGCCCCGCCGCGGGGTAGCCCAGCGCCAGCCCGCCGCCCGTCCTGCCCGAGGCGGCACTCACCGGGCTCAGCTCGCCCGCGGGGGAAGTCCGCAGGGTCATGATGCTCTCCACGCTGAAGCCCGGCAGCCCGTTACCGGCAGGGTGATGCTCGGGCAGCGCCGCGTCCGGAGAGGCGGCGGCGGCGGGCGGCGAGGCGGCGCTGCGGGGGCTGTCCCGCACGGCCCCGCCGCTGGCCGGGCTCAGCGTCTCCACCTTGGTGATCACGGGCAGCTCGGGAGACGCCGTCTCGCTCTTGATCACCACCTTCTTCTCGGAGGCCGGCGCCGAGGCGGAGGAAGAGGAAGAGGAGGAGGAGGCTTCCTTGGGGAGGTCGGCGCCGGGCAGCCCGGGGGGCTTGGGCTGCTCCTTCAGCAGCCGCTCCCGGGCCTCCTCCTTCTCCTTGGACACGTCCTTCTTCTTGAAGCGTCTCCGGCGGCGCAGGAAGCTGCCGTTCTCGAACATGTTGTAGGAGTCGGGGTCCAGGGTCCAGTAGCTGCCCTTGCCCGGCTTCTTGTCATCGCGGGGCACCTTGACGAAGCACTCGTTGAGCGAGAGGTTGTGGCGGATGCTGTTCTGCCAGCCCTGCTTGTTCTCTCGGTAGAAAGGGAAGCGGTCCATGATGAACTGGTAAATCCCATTGAGCGTGATCTTCTTGTCGGGGGCGTTCTGGATGGCCATGGTGATGAGGGCGATGTAGCTGTAAGGTGGCTTCACCAGGTCCTTGGGGGCGGTGGGTTGGTGCGGGTGGTAGGGGCCGTAGGAGCGCCCCATGCCCGCCGCGTACTGCTCGGCGTGGCCCGAATAGACGCTCATGGGGTTGCCCATGCCGCCGTAGGTCCCGGCAGCCCGGTAGTAATTCTGCTCGCTTAAATACGGCACCACTCCCAAAGCGTTGGGGTCCGAGACGGAGTAGCGAGCCTGCATCATGGAGAGGGGCTGCCCGCGGCCGCGGAGGAGAGGAGGAAGAGGAGGACGGTGGAAGGGCCTCACCCCCGTCCGGGACCCCTCCGCGGAGAAGGGAGAGAGGGAGAGAGCGGGAGAGAAAGAGAGAGAGAGTCTCGGAGCCGAGCTCAATCCCAGCGTGTCCTCTAGCAGCGGCACCGCAGCGGCATCCTCCGGGTCGCCGGGGGCAGGGTGGTCTCTGGCGGCCTCTCCCTCCCTCTGTATGACTGTGATTCTGCTACACACGCCTACGGCCCGCGGCGGGCGCTGCTGCGGGGAGCTGGGCTGATGGTGGGGGGGGCTGTTCTCGCAGGAAAAGGGAATTTTAAAAAAAAAAAAGTAGCAAAAAAAAAAAACAAACAAAAAAAAGAGCCTGAATAATAACAAAAAAAAAACAACTTGAAAAAATTTAAAAGGAAAAAGACGAAAAAGCAGCCTTGCGGAAAGCCCAGTCCTTGTCACAAGAGCGGCCCGAAGCGTTGCGGAGCCCCCGGAGGGGTGCGGGAGCCGCCGCCGCCGAGTTCCCTCCCGGCCGCGCTGCGCAGCTTCAAAACCGCCCCGCGCCGCCGCCGCGCTTTTACTGCCCGCCGGCCCCGCCCCCCGCCGCGGCCGCCAGCCAATGGCAGCGCGCGGCGCCGCGGCCGCAGCCAATGGGAGCGCGGGACGCGGCGGCGCTGCCGGGCCGGGCCGGGCCCCGCTCCGGCACCCCCGGCACCCTCGGCCCCAGCCCCGCTCCGGCACCCCCGGGCCCTCCGTGCGGGGTTTGGCGGTTCTGCCCCAAAAGCAGCCCCGAGCCGGCCCGGGGATGTGCCCGCTACCCGCTGCCCGCCCCGTGCTAACGGCGGGGTTTGTCAGCGCTGAGTGCGGGCAGGTTGATGGTGGTGTCGCGGTGTCCCCGTGTCCCGATGCCCGGCGGGGCGTGCGGTCACGGTTTTAAATGTGTTTCTATGGAATTCATCCGGAGAGGCCGCCGGGTGCTCGCACGGCGGCGGCGACATCGCGGCTCGGCCCCGGCGGTGCCGTCGTTGCGCGTTCAGAGGTTGCTCTGCCGCTTTGGGGGAGTTTGGGGATATTTTATTATTCTAGAAAATACCCAACAAACCCGACAAAAAGCAGCAAGCGCATTTAAGTGTCTATATTTTATTTTCGTTCCGGGCATTGAGGTGGATTTTCTTGTGGCTGTGAAATCCGCCCCTCTGCCTTGTCCCTAATGAGTTCATTAGAGGCAATCAGAGCGGGACAATTAGGGACGCATGGTGACCAAGTGTAAACTCAAGTGTTGGGGGAAACTGCTGCGAATTGTTCTGTTCCACCCGAGAGAAGAGTGGAGCCGCCGGGCGAAGGAACCGAGGTGGGAAACCAGCGATTTCCCCGCTCCGCAGGAGTAAAAAAGAAATTAAAAATCAGATTATATCTATAATCAAAAATAGCGCTGCAAAATCGATTCGAGCCCGAAAAGACCGAGATAAGGTCAAAATAAATTTGCTGTCACTCCGCTCGGGCTCCTTCCCGCCGCCTTCCCCCGAGCCTGGCTGCTGCCGCTCTGATTCCCGAGCGGTGATTTTTGGGTTTCTTACACTGTAATTTTGCCTTGCCCTCCTTGCAATTTGTGCGGTTTCGTAAGGCTTTAAACAAAGATATTTTTTCCCCCCAAAGGCGGGCTGGGATTTTGGGCGGCTGCTGGCACCGAGGGTCCCTTTCCCGCTCGCAGCCCCGGCGGTGCGGAGACCGCAGGCGGCTCCGGCCGTGGGAACCCGGCGGGGCTGTTAATTACCGGAGATTTTCTTAATAAGAAAGGAAACGATTTTATGGCGATAACTAAGGGGAGGGAAAAAAATGAAATGATGAGGTAGATCCTCTACAAGGAGGGATGGTTCAAAATGATCTGCGATGGAAAAATTGATCGGGGAGTTTCTACGGGTGTTTCAAAATTGTTATTTAGTTTTGACGGAAATAATTTTGAATGTTCGGGGAGGGTTTCATCCACCGAGAAAATGTCCGGGGATATTTTGTTTGGGGAAAACAAATAGTGAATTCAGCGAGATAAGCTGATACTTTTCATGTAAATGTATAACCATAAGAGAAAACTTTTATTTTTTTTTTTTTCTGGAATAATTTGAGAACGACTTCACACTTTTATGTTCGGTTTTCAAATAAATCACGTTTCTCGTAACAACTCGGGCTGCGTCTCAGTGTACACAAGCAAATGGGATTTCTTTAACGATATAAGTTTATAAAATGTTGGAATTTAATAAAAGAGAGCCACCCCTGCGGTGTCACAGTGCTGTCTCTTCCTAGAAGCCTGGAGAAATATCCTCGATGGAATCTTACCTCTCCTCGGCTGAAAACTTTACCGACCTGCATTTCTACAGAACCCCCAGAAGCAGCAAAAGTTTTTTGCTTGCTAGAGCTGGGCACCGAGCAGAGACCGATCCAACGGGCTCGGAAAAGCCCAAAATGCGAATGGCTTCAAGAAAACAAAACAAAACAATAAAAATCAGCATTATGAAAAATACGGGGGGGGAACGCAGGGAAAGGAGCCCCTAGGAGGAGGAGAGCGGGAGGCGCTTGGAAATGCGGGATTTTCCCCGCCGGGCTCCCTTCGCCCGGTTCTCCGGGGGAGCCGCCGGTTTTCCTCCCGCAGCCTTCACCGGCAGCGGCAGCGGAGCTTCCGCAGCGCTCGGGGCGCCCTGGGCGCCGTTCTGGGGACCACTCCCGGGGCCCCTCCCGGTGTCGCTCCGGGCCGTTCCCGGGCTGTTCTTGGTGTCGTTCCCGGTGTCGTTTCCAGGGCTGTTCCCGGTGCCGCTCTGGGACAGTTCCCGGGCCGTTCCCGGTGTCATTCCCCGGGCCGTTCCCGGTGTTATTCCCGGTGTTATTCCCGTTGTCGCTCCCGGTGTCGTTCCCGGGCTCGCTCCGGTCTCACCTGCCCGCGGGGGCTCCGCACGGCGTGTGTCGCCCCCCAGGGGACACCGCGGGGACTGCAGCGCTCCCCGGCACCGCCCGGGCGCGGGGACAGAGGGACAGGGACGAGACAGACAGACAGGGACAGACAGAGGGACAAGGACAGAGGTGGGGACGGGGACAGACCGAGCAGGACAAGAGGAAAGAGGGAGAAGTGTGGGATGGAGGTGGGAACAAGAGAGAGGGAGAGAGAGAGGGGGTGAGTGGAGAAAACGAGTGGGCAAAGGGAGAGGAAAAGTGGGGAAGGAAGGAAGAGGCAGAGAAAAGGAAAGAGAGAAAGGAGGAAATGAAGGAGGGAAAGAGTGAAAAGAGTGAGGAAGGAAGGAAGGAAGGAAGGAAGGAAGGAAGGAAGGAAGGAAGGAAGGAAGGAAGGAAGGAAGGAAGGAAGGAAGGAAGGAAGGAAGGAAGGAAGGAAGGAAGGAAGGAAGGAAGGAAGGAAGGAAGGAAGGAAGGAAGGAAGGAAGGAAGGAAGGAAGGAAGGAAGGAAGGAAGGAAGGAAGGAAGGAAGGGAGAGAACAAGAAAGAAAGACATTAAAGGAGTGAGGAGAGAAAGAAAAAGAAGAAGAAAGAAGGAAGGAAGAGAAAGAATGAAAGAAAGAGGAAGACAGAAATAAAGGAAGAAAGAAGGAGAGGAAACGCAAGAAAGAAGAGAGAAGGAAAGGAAAGGAAAGGAAAGGAAAGGAAAGGAAAGGAAAGGAAAGGAAAGGAAAGGAAAGGAAAGGAAAGGAAAGGAAAGGAAAGGAAAGGAAAGGAAAGGAAAGGAAAGGAGAAAGGAAAGGCTTTATCTGGCACCAGTCCAGCCAAGACCCATTGATGCACATGAATCTCTCAGAGCTGGAGGGGAAAACTCCTGAATTCAGCAGTCTTGGTCGTTGTGGAGAGAAAAAAACTCAGAAAAGGTGTTTGCATCTGCAGCCCTCAGAGGAGCATCCCAATTTATTCTGATTTTTTGGGCTGGCACAGCTGCACTCGGCTCTGACCAAGGAGCTGCAGCATCCTGGCCAAGTGGGGTGGATATCATATCATATCATATCATATCATCATATCATATCATATTTACAATATAATACAATACAACACAATACAATATAATATAAATAATAATAAATATACCAACTCTGAAGACATTCCCCCATTCCCCAGCACGCTTTAAAATAAACCTTCATAAATTTTATTCATCGTTTCATTGTTCTCGTGACCCCTCCATCCTGCTCAGGAATGTTGGGATTCTCACGCTCCTTTTTTTGGGGTGGTTTTAGTAGAATGAGCTAATTCTATAAATAATAAATTGTGTGAACGAATCATTTATTATCCAATTAAAGGCGAGCAAGAAGTGAACTTGTGGGTACCCACGTAGAGGCTGGATATTGTTTTATTCACCACCGGCCAGTTCTAAATGGAAAAGTAATTAATGTGAGGGATAATTTTACAAAAAGTAGGGTGGGATTTTACCCCCAGCCATAAAACGTGATAGAAAGTCCGTGATATTTGTCGAATGAGGGCGAAAATCTCCCATCAATTCGCCAGCACAGCCTTTTTTATGTTTAATTCCAGAAATAAATCGGGCCCTCAGCGACCCCTCACGCCGCTTCCCCAACTCTGCCTTCGAGGCCTTTTGAGCCCTCAGTGCCGCCGTAGCCGCCGCGCGCGCCGGAGGGGCGTGGCCAACGCGAACGCTCCGCCCCCCTGTGCTGACGCGTGAGGAGGCGAGGATTAACGGCAGTGACGTCAGTTTTCTGAGGGGCGGGGCGCTATGGTGACGTCACGGTGATGAGATAGCGAGGGGCGGGGCGTCGCTGACGTCACGGCGTGGCGGAGAGAGCGGGGAGGCGGGAGGGGATGGCGGTGACGTCACGGCGGGCGGGTGCGGGATGGCGGTGACGTCAGGGCGATGGCGGCGGCGGCGGGCCGGGCGCTGCCCCCAGCGGGCCGCTCCAAGTGGGACATCCGGGAGGAGGTGTGGGAGCACCTGGAGGCCTCGGGCCTGGCCGAGTTCCCGCGGCCCGTGCGCGGCCGCATCCCCAACTTCAAGGTACGGCGGTGACCGGCGCTGGGCCGCGTCCTGCTGCTGCTGCTGCTGCTGCTCCTTCCCTGCCCCGCTCTGCCGGGAGCGGCCCCCAGTGAACACCCAGTGCCGCCCCAGTTACCCCCCAGTTCTCCCCTAGTGCTCCTCAGTGCCCCCCAATTCCCCTCCCAGTCCCCTCAGTGCTCTCCCAGATCCCCCCCAGTACCCCCAGTTCTCCCCCCAGTGCTCCCAGGTCCCCCCCAGTGCCCCCAGTTCCTCCCCAGTGCTCCCCAGTGCCCCCCAATCCCCTCCCAGTCCCCTCAGTGCTCTCCCAGATCCCCCCCAGTACCCCCAGTTCTCCCCCCAGTGCTCCCAGTTCCCCCCCAGTGCTGCCCCCAGTGCCCCCGGTTCCTCCCCAGTGCTCTCCAGTGCCCCCAATGCTCCCCCAATGCCCCCTCAGTGCCCTCCAATACCTCCAGCTCTCCCCCAGTTCCCCCCCAGTGCCCTCAGTGCCCCCCCGTGCTCCCCAGTGGTGTGCAGTACCTCCCAGTTTCCCTCCAGTGCCCTCCAGTGCCCCTAGTTCTCACCTGGCAGCCCTGGAGGGAAAGCAAACAAAACCTCCTTGTCAATTCCCAAGCCACAGAACGGTTTGGATATCAGGAAAACATTTTTCACCAAAAGAATAATGAGGTACTGGAATGCTCTTCCCAGGGAGGTGGTGGAATCACCATCTCTGGATGTGTTAAAAAAAGCCTGGACATGGCACTGGGAGCTATAGTCTGGTTGAGGTGTTAGTGCAAGGGTTGGACTCTGTGATCTTAGAGGTCTCTTCCAACCTCATTATTCTGTGATTCTGTTTGAATTGGAAAGGAATTTAAAGCTCCCTCAGCAGGAACACCTTCACTATCCCCCTTTGAGCCCTGTCCAAGCTGGCATTAGACATTTCCAGGGATTCACAGAAAATTAGCAGCCCCTCAATTAAAAATCAGCCTGTCCAGAGGGTGAAAGGTTCTGCTTTACCCATTTCTGCTGTGAGCTGATATTTTATGCAAACAGGGCTCCTCCCATGCTGCCACCAGGCTCCTGGGCTTGCAGCAGTTCCGGGCTGCCCGTGCAGTAAAAATAAACCCTGATGCTCCCCAGAGGAACGCCCGCTTCCTCACCCTGGAAGTAAGTGAGAATGCTCCAAGTAAGTGAAAATCCTCTGCTCTTGGCTCCTTCCCTGTGCCAGGGCTCCCTCCAGGCCTGCTGCTCTCTCAGGGAGCTGGAAGTGTTCAGCAGAGCACGGGAGGTGAAGGTGGATCCTGACAAACCTCTGGAAGGTGCCCGGCTGGCAGCTCTGCAGGTAAAGGCAGCCCTGAGGAGGGGCTGGGAGGGGACAGCAGAGCCTGGCAGTAGGGATGTGTTCCCTGAGTCAACAAATGATCCTTTGTCTCCTTAAAAAGCCCAGAAGTTTCTCTCCTCAAGGTGGCAAAAAGCCACCTCATAGGGGACTTCACCTCAAACCCAATTGGACAGAAGCTAAAAGGTCCCACCTAGGTAATTCACTAGAAAAAGAAGAGAATAAAGGAAATAATCCCTTTTGTGGGGTGTTTTTACCAGAAGCAAGAGCCTCTTGCCCCTGTCTCTGTAAGAGCTTTGTTATTTTGCCTTTTATTAAAACATTTTCTGTTTCCAGCAATGCCTCAGAAGCAATCCTGCTGATTTTATGCTGGGCTATCTCGGGTGTGATGGGTTTCTCTGAGGGCTCACAAGACCTGGCTCTAGGAGAAAATACAACTCACCTCAGCAACACCTGGCACTGCATCTTCAAGGGGTTTATGCTCAAATCAACGTGTCATGGAATGGTTTAGGTTGGAAGGGATTTGAAGGATAATTCAGTTCCAACCTCCTGCCATGGCAGGGACACCTTCCACCGTCCCAGGGTGCTCCAAGTTCTGTCCAACCTGGCCTTGGACATTCCAGAAGCAGCCACAGCTTCTCTGGGCACCTTCTCTTCCCACCCTCACAGGGAGAATTTCTCCCTAATATCCCATCTAACCCTGCCCTTCATCAGTTTGAAACTATTATCTCATAAACCTGCTTAGAGACATAGCTTTAAAGGAGGAATTGTCTTTAAAGGTATGTCCTGAAATATCTTCAAATGTCTGTCTTACCTTTTATTTCTTCAATAAACCTTTTGATGGAATTTTCCTCTATTGGAGGAAATTAACCCTACAAGCACTTTGCAATCTACAACATAAAAAAAATTAAATATTTGGCCATGTCGTTTTTACTGTGTGACAATAAAAATATTTCTTCAGTGTAAAATGAACCTTCTCATGTGGTTCCTCAGGCAAGGAAGACTTTGCTGGTTCCCACACCACGTCTGAGGACTGGGCTGTTCAACAGGATTGTTCCCCCTCCAGGGGCAACCAAGGAGGTGCTGAGGAGATGTGCCACATCTCAGGTGGGACAGAATTAACCTTGGGACAGTGTGGGCTTAAGATGGACCAGCTGGAAGTTGGAAACCTGAAATATCTTCCTGTTAGGATGTTATTCCTGGCTTTGTGTACATTATAATATTGAAATCAGGAGAAAATTCAGTCTTAGCAGGACAGTATTGATGCTTCGCAGTGGTTTTTAGAAAGTCATGACTTGAGGTGAGTTTGGTGTTCATGCACCTCCATCCTGCAATTCTGAGCTGCTGAGCCCTCTGGGGAATATTTTAGTGCTCTTAGGTGTAACCAGATAGGAAAGTTACCATCTTCAACCAAGGAGATGCTGAGGAGATGTGCCACATCTCAGGTGGGACTGAGGCATCAGGGAGGGCTGAGTTAACCTTGGGACAGTGTGGGCTTAGGATGGACCAGCTGGAAGTTGGAAAACCTGGAATATCTTCATGTTAGAATGTTATTCTTAGGTTTATGTGCATGGATAATGTTGAAATCAGGAGAAAATTCAGTCTTAGCAGGCTTGAAAGGGATTTGAATTGATATTTCTCAGTGTCTTTTGGAAAATCATGACTTGAGGTGAGTTACAGCTTTCTTCATGCTCCTCCATCCTGCATGAATGAACCCTCTGGGGAACATTTTAGTGCTCTTAGGTGTTACCAGCTGGGAAAGTGGAGTTTTTTTGTGGAACCCAACACCCAAAGAGCCGTGAATTGAGGCATTTGCGTGCAGCGGGTTCCTCCTCCACGGGGGGAGGTCGGGCTTTGCCGCGGTCTCTTGCTGCCCTCTCGTGTTCCATCCTCACCGCACAGCCCAGGGCCGTGCCCAGACAGCCCTGCAGGGTTTACATCTTTATTTGCCATGAAAACCCAACATGAAGAGGTTACTACGGGGATTTATTTCCTCCTTTATCTCCTGCTCAAGGCAATAAAGTTCTGCTGCAACCCCGTGAACAACCGAGGTTGTAAAGGCTGGTAATTAGTAGTGACTTTCTTTGTTGGAACTTCTATTGCAGTCATTAACTAATTAAGCTGTTCAGGGCTGAAGAGCACTTTTGCAAGAGACCTTTCTCTTGGCCTGCTGTCTGATCTGGGCTCTTGGCACCATGTGTCTGGTTTTTCCCCCAGCCCACTAATGAAAAAATGCTGTTGGCAGTTTGTATTTACAAAGCACTGTGCAAACAATCCTTACCACACTGCTGGGAAGTGCCTGATGGGTGTTAGTGCTGATAGTCAGCCACAAATTACCGAATTCTTGGGCTTTGTGCTCTGCACAGAAAATGTGTGGCTCTTTATTGTGATTTTAATATTCTTAATTTATAATTAGCAGCAAGTTGAGTTGGTGTGAGGAGCATTTGCAGTGTGCTGTACACATATATTGGGAGTGATTGAATCAGAAGATGGATTTTTAATAGTTCTGAACCTTTGATATTTAAAAACCCTAGTAAACATGATTTTTAATTTCTGCAAACTGGACAGAATTTTTGTTAAAATGAGAACAGATTGAAGAGGAGTGGGTGGGGTTGAACAGGGAGAGAGGGAAGGAAAAAAAAAATTGTATCACTTTGTGCTGTAGTTGTCTGGGTCTAAATTAACTTTGTGATTTATATTTCAGAATTAATTGAAGCATTTGTAGTGCTCTGGTATTCCTCAAGCTTTTAGTAGAGTAGGAAGTGTAAATAGGAAGTGTCACTTGCCCTCATTTTTAGGAACAGATTTCCAAAGAAGTGTTTCAAAATATCAGCTTTTGATCCTAAGTAAAAATCCTTGCTTCTAAAAGTGCCCACCTCCCTCAGCTCTCCTTGCAGTGTGCCAAAATTCCTGTCACTGTAGTAGGGAATCTATTCTAGGATTCCCTGGGGGATAACTTCCCAGACATGTACAGCTTGGCTAAACATGGAAGAGACACTTGGAAACATGGGGAGTTATTGGGATTTATCAAAATATCCTGGATTTCTGCCTCAGTCCATGGAAGACTGTGCCCTCTGCAAACCTCAAATGCTGTTTTTTTCCTGCAGGGTGTAAGAGACTTCAGCGTGCCTGTGGGGCTGGACAGCAAAGCACAAGTGGACTTGGTTGTTGTGGGCTCAGTGGCTGTCTCTGAAAAAGGTAAGGAAAAACTCCCAGCAGAAAGGTCCCAAGTGCCAGCCCAGTGGCAGGGCCACATTTCTCCTTGGAGCTGAGCTGTGGCCTTGGCCTCTGGCCCTGTGTGTGCCCAGTCCCTGCTGCCAGCGCAGCAGGAAGCAGGGCTGGTGCCTCAGGATGCAGTGGGCACACACAGTGGCCCCTGGGGTGTTCAGGAGAACTCTTGAGGAAAGCAATGGTTTGTGTTCTGAAGGAGTCCAGGCAGGCTCCCTGTCAGAGATCTGCTCTGCTCACAACACAGGCTCTGTGAAAGGACTTGTGTTAGACCTGCTGATTCAGGACCTATTTGGGGATCAGATTTTGCATTTTCTAGTATTTTGGAAACCTGCTAGTGCTGAAAATTTTCCACTGACTTTATCCCCTGCCTAAAATAACACAGTTTTTATATGTGACCCAGACTCCTCTTTACCCACATTAACCTGTGTGGGACATGAATAGAAGGTTCTAAATACAATTGCTAAATAAACTGCTGGGTTAATTACACTGAATTTGTTTATTCTGAGTGGGAAGCTTCTGAGATCTTTTAGGAGTCATTGAAATTGATTTTTTATTTCATTTCAGTGCTGATTTCAAGGAAAGCTGCACTCTGTGAGAGTTGCTGATCTGATTTTTTCCAGAGTTACAGCTTGCAGACTGCTGGGTTAATTACACCATTTTAACAACTTTCCACTGTGCTCTTTGATTTTTTTTTTTTTCCCCACTTTTTTGTGCTTTAGGCTGGAGAATTGGCAAAGGGGAAGGTTATGCAGACATGGAATATGCAATGATGGTGTCCATGGGGGCAGTGCAGGAGGACACACCTGTGGTCACCATTGTGCACGACTGCCAGGTGAGTTGGGATGTTCAAATATCCCCTCTGCAGCTGGGAGGGAGCTCTGGGACACTTCCTGCTCTGTCTGCAGAGGAGACATGGAATGAAGCTGGTTTGGCATCTTCATTCCCATTGTCTTTGATGGATTTTCATGTGACAAGCCATCAGGAATGGGGCACAGCTTTAGGCAGTTTGTTTTTTTAGCTACTTAACCAAATCTCTGCCTTGTAGGTGCTTGACATAGCAGAGGAGCTGCTGGGTGATCATGATTTAACTGTGGATTACATCCTCACTCCAACCAGGACCATCCAGACCAATTGCAAACGCCCAAAACCTCAGGGAATAATGTGGCACAAGGCAAGTTCAGTTTAATCCAGTTAAATCTTAAACCTTCGCTGCTGGTGGCACAAACCAAGTTCAATTTAATCCAGTTAAATCTTAAACCTTTGCTGCTGGTGGCACAAACCAAGTTCAATTTAATCCAGTTCAAATCTTAAACCTTTGCTGCTGGTGGCACAAACCAAATTCAATTTAATCCAGTTAAATCTTAAACCTTTGCTGCTGGTGGCACAAACCAAGTTCATTCTTCATTCAAGTTAAACCTTTGCTGCTGGTGGCACTAGGCAAGTTCGATCTTAATCAAGTTAAATCTTAAACTTTTGCTGCTGGTGGTTTACTGGTACCAATAACCTGATAAACCCCTCCATTCTTATATAGAAACAATTTTTTTAAATCAGAAATATTTGGTAAAAGAGCAGATGTGTTTATCAGGTGAAACAAAGCAGCAGCATCTGTGGGCAGTGGGGTTTCAGGGGTAATGGAGGAGAGATATTTCCCTACACCTGAGGTTGCTGTATCCATGGATTATCAGGGTATGCCCCATCCTGGAAGTGTCCCAGGCCAGGCTGGATGGGCTTGGAGCAATCTGGGGTAGTGGGAGGAGTCCCAGGGGTGGAACTGCTGGGTAGGAGGGTGTGCTGCTCTGGTTGTGAGAGGAAAACACAACCTGCTGCTGGTACATTCCTGCTTCTGCAGTTTCAGGTGGAAGAACAAAGACTTTAAACTTGAATCTTTATTTATTGGTAGTTCTGTTATGGATTGGCCTTTTCCCCCTGCTCACTGTCAGAAACTTCCTCAGCTTCCCAAACAGTTTCAGGAAAGCCTTGAGTGAATTGTTTTACTGGAGGTTCCTGCTGGGAAAGCTTTTTCTTTGTCATTGGATTTTCATTTCTGAAATCATCCAGTCAGGGAGCAGACCCAATCCTGCATGAGTGAGTACAGCAGGAATGCTGAAATGAGGAATTGTGCACCCACATCTTGCAGAAACTGAGCAATTCTAAGGGAATACTCCCAGGGAAATCAAAATTTGTTGGTTAAAATTTGTCGACCAGCTGAAAGAGTTAAATTTCTTTAGGTAATGTATCTACAACAAACAAATTCTAGCCAGGACTATTTTTATTCCAGAAGTGGGAGAGCATTTTACCCTGCCTGTGGTTGAGGATTTGAGGTTATAAATAAATAAATAACAGCTCTGTCTGTCCTAGTGCATTTTTTCCATTGAATTATTTTTGAATTGTAATTTTTTTTAGGATATTATTGAATGTAATTGTGTTGAAGGCCTACCCCTTGTGCTCCATCCATCTTGCCAACATATTTTTGATCAGTTTGTCTGCCTTGGTGTCAGACTTCTCAGTAAGTGGCCTTGCTGACACTTTTTTATTTCTTTTTTTGTGCCTTTAGCAGAAACTGAATTTTCTGCAGCTTTCACTGAGAATGGAGCACAGATTGATCCTTGATTTGAATATTTGAGTGTTGATTTAACACCTTTTGTTTGGAGCTGTATGGATTAAATAGGAATATTGGAGAGGACCAGGGATAATAATCACTTTTCTGTCTTTTTGGGACCAGAACAAAGTGTGGTGTCTGTATGAAGCAGAAATTGCCATTACTCCCCAGGGAAATGGGTGACATTTATTCTGTGTGTGCCTGTGGTGTTCAGCTCTTGCACAGAGGGGTTTGGAGGTGGGAGGTCTGGGTAATCAGCAGGCTGTGAAAAAGGCAGCATTTGATAGGGGCTATTTCAGTGTTTGTCCTTTGGATTTTCCTGACTACTTCTCCATCATTTTCTCTCCATCCTTTTCTCCTTCAAATCCTGGCTTGGCTGGTGCATTCCTGTTCCTCAGAGCAAAACTAAATGAACCAAGAGGCAGGGAGTAAATAAATCACCCACTTCCAAACATGGGCTTTTGTCAACACTGAGTAGCTTAACTTCATTGTGAGGAGCTGTGAGGTGGAAAATACATTGTAAAAAAAAAAAAAAAAAAAAAAAATCCCCAAATCCTTGGGGAGCAGGGCTGGATCAGGCCAGGTCAGTGTTTAGGAGTTTGAAATCCAGGTGTTTGCAAATATGGGATTACAGCTAAGGGTTGTTGTAAGGATGTGCTGCCAGTAATGCACACTCAGCTCCAGAGGGAAGGGAGAGAGGGAGGTGCTCACCCAGCAAACAAATCCATGGCTGCATTTCCATGCTGAAGGAGCTGCTGCATTTTCCTGGAGTGCTCTTGTGTGTTCTGAGCTGTTTAAAGACTTCCAAGAGAAGTGGAAGAGCCACAACATCATCAATACCAAAGAATCATGATCAGGCACTCCAGAAACACTTCAAAATCCCCACTGCTGGGGGGTGTTTGTGGAACTTTTGTGCCTCTGAGGTTTGGGACATCAATTTGAGTTACTGGAGAGCAGCAAGAGCTGCTGAGAGCTGAGGACTCTGGAAAACTTTATTTGGATGCCAGTGGAGAATTATTTGGCTTCATGTGTCTTGAAAATCCAACCCATTGTTTCTGGGAACTCTAAATTCATGAAGCTACTTGCTTTCTCATTTAATATTTTCTATGGGTAACTGTGATCTTTATCTGGGACACTGGCTATTATATTTGTCCCAATTATCAAGTTATTTGTGCTGTGCTTATTTTAAATTGAAACTGTACAGACAAATTAAAATATTTGAGTTCACGAAGAGGGAAAGGAGAGTAGTTGGTGGAAAAATCACTATATTTTAGCAAGTATTTCCTTCTGGCTTTGAAGTCATTCTTTTGCTGAGGATTTTCTAGCAGGAGGAAAAGATTTTTTCCTGAAATGAAATGAAATGAAATGAAATATGAAATGAACTGAACTGGGGGGGGGAATCCCAGTGGCAGAGATGGAAACCCTCTGACAACAAACAGCTCTGGGTGTGTGATAGAACATTTGGAAAGGAAAGCTCAAAAAATGCACCCATCCAAGCTGGCAAATCCTTCAGCAGAAGGAGTTGCAGTCAGTGTAGGCAGGGCTTTGCTTTGGTGTGGTTTTTGGGATGGTGAGGGCAGGGAATGCTTCCACACCTGGTCACACACCCCAGCACCTTGGCAAAGCTGATCCTCTCTGCAGCAGAGTGCCCAGAATGCCCTGGTGCATTCCCAGTGTGGGCTCCAGGAGTTTCTCCTGAGGGACACCAGCAGGCTGCCAACGTGCCCTTGGATTGTGTGCACATATTTGGACATTTTGTGCAAATGAATGATAAAATGTTCAGCTGTGCTGGCCTTGCTGTCCTGGCCTTGTCTGTGCCACAAATCCCTGTTTGCTCAGAGCTCCTGGAAACGAGGACACAGCATGAAAAAGAGGACACAGCACAAAAAATTTGGTCTGTCCCAAGGAGGTTTTGAACAATCTGGGGTCAGAGGCCTCTGAGGATGAACCTTGCAAACACTTTTGCTCACCTGTTTGGAAGGGCTGCTGGATCTGCAGCCCTGGAGGTGTTTGGTGCTGTTTGTTGCCTGCCAGGGCAGCTGCATCAGTCTCCATCTTAAAATCAAGGAATGGGTTGTGCTGAAAGGGATTTGAAAGAGAAACTTGGAATCAGCCCCTGCACACCTTCCACTGTCCCTGAGTGCTCCCCAGCCTGGCCTTGGACACCTCCAAATGTCCCCAAGGGATGTGGCAGCCACAGCTGCTCTGGGCACCTGTGCCAGGGCCTCCCCACCCTCACAGGGAGCAATTCCTTCTCTATATCCAAACTAAATTTTCCCCTTTTCCATTCTGAGGCCATTCCCCTTGTGCTGTCACTGGTGTCACAGTCCCTCTCCAGCTTCCTTGCAGCCCATTCACATCCTGGAAGGTTCTGGGATGTCTCCAGGCTGAACAGCTCCAGCTTTCTCAACCTGTCCCCACAGGGGAGGTGTCCCAGTCCTTCATGGCCTCCTCTGGACTCAATCCAACATTCCATGGTTTTCTGCTGCTGGGGACACACAGGATTCCAGGTGGGGGCTCACAAGATCCAGGTGTTCCTGTGTCAGTGTGATGAGGAGCAGAATGAAATAGCAGGATAAGGACAGCCCCTTATCCCACCCCATCCCATCCCATCCCATCCCATCCCATCCCATCCCACCCCATCCCTCACTCCAGGCCTGCAGTGCTTCCAGGGAGATCTCAGTGCTCTTTGCCCTGCCCTGGGCTGCCTCAGGGCTCAGCATTTCTCTTTCTGCCCCAGGACAAGCACATCCTTCATTGTCCTCAGCAGAATGTTGGAAATGGCTCTGATCAGAGGTCTGGGAGAGCAGAGGGTGAGGAGAGCCCTGGTGTCCAGCAGGGAGGCTGCAGGATCCATCTGCCACCACATTTTGGGATCAAACCAGGTGTCAGAGCCATGGATGCTGTGGGTTAAGTGCTGGGAGAGTTGTGCACTCAGCATCCAGGACTTTTTTCCTCAGGTTTCTGTCAGAAAGGGGCCACTTTTCCCTCCTCAGCTCCTTTCCCAGTAATTGTGTGCCAGAAGAGTTTATCCAGCCTGCTGTCCTCCTTCCCCAAGGCTCTCCCAGCCATGGCAGGGATTATTAAATGATTAATTGCCTTTGGTGTGGTTATTTTAAACCCAGATTATTTCAGAGTTTATGGCACAGAGCCATGAGCATTTCTTTGGCCAACCCCAGAGGGCTGAAGTGTGGAATTGGTGGTCAGGGGATGACAGGGGAACTTCTTCAGCTTTGGTTTCACTAGCAAAGCTAAATCCCAACACTCAATCCCAACTTTCAAAACATCAGTAAATGGTTTAGCCTTGGCTTGAAGGGATGGGGGAAGCTTCCAGTGCTGGGTTTGCCCTTGTTCACATGGATGGAACAACCAGACTTGGGCTGCAATGTCCCTAAATTCTGGTTTAGCCTAAAGCAGAAGGCAGGGACAGGAACAGGGAGGACTGAGCAGCCATCCCAGAAGTGTGCAGCTTGTTGAAAGAGAGGAGGAATATCTTTGGCCTCTCTCCACAAGGAAATAAATCCTTGCAATCCTCCCCAGCTCACAGGACAAAAGGAACTTCTAGCATGATTGTAATTAGCAACACATTGTGCTATCACAGGGTTCTTTTGTTTGCTCTTTTGCAACAGAGCAGAACAAGCTTTTTCCTCTCCCCTGCCACCCACTGCCCCGTTTGCCCTTTCAGTTCTCACCCCCAGAACCCCAATGGATTTGTTTGTTGAGTTGAAACCCCAAACTGGAGTTTCTGCCTTTCAGTGGCATAAAAGTGAGAGAAAACAGGGAAGGGTTTAGAAGGTTTGGCCCAGCTGAAATGTTCCCCTAGAACCCAGAGAAAAAAGCCCTTAAGGTAAATCCTCTGTGCCTCTTGTGACAGGAAGGTGTCAGCTGACAGTGGCAGAATTTGCCTAATGTTTTTTACAAAATCTTTCCTAATACAAAAAAATAAAAGTCTTAAATCAGCTGCCTTTGTTGCTTTGGTGAAGGTCTGTTGGTGTTGTGTCTGCACAGGGCTGGATTTTGAGGGAATGATGGAATCACTTCATGGTGGTGTTTGACCAGAACTTTAAAGAAAATAGTTCATAGCCCTTACAAAAATCCCAGAATCGGTGATTTTGGAGGTTTTTTCCAACCTCAGTAAGTCCAACTGTGACAGATCCCAGACCAGACCAGTTCTGTCTTTCCATAAACACCTCCAGGAGTGAGGACTCCACCATGGGCAGTAATTCCAATGTCTAATCCCCCTTTCTGTGCAGAAATTCCTCCTGAAACATAAATGCTGTTGTCACTGCATCTTCCTGAGTTTGCCAGGAGCCTGAAGCAGCAGCTCCAAGAGCTGCAGGCTGATGCCAAAATCTCCTGAGTGAGAGGAGATGCCTGGTGGAAGTCCCTGGAGATTGTGCTGTTCCCTGCATTATCTACATCCTGCCCTTGGATTGTCCTGGGAATTCCAGGGTTGGAATTCCACTCTCAGTGCCCATCTCTGATTGTCCCAATCTCCAAAGCCCTGAGGGTTTGCCCTTGGTAGCATTTCCCTTCCTAACCAAACACCCAACCCATGCCTTGGCAACTGAGTTTAATTTCAGGATGAAAGGAGCAGTTCTTGGGTTGTGCTTTGGGGCCAGGAGCGATTGGGTTGCATGAGAACAGAAAAATGTTTTTCCTGTTTGGTTTAATTAGCATAGAGCTTCCATTTCACATGGAAATTTGACAGAGGACAACAAACCTCCTTCATTGTTGGCCAGTACAAACAAAGTGAGATCCTTCAGCCCTTGGTTTGATGTTTGTGTCACTCGGGGAAGGGGAGCTTGCTGTCAAACACAGCACTTGGAGTTCTTGGCTGAGAAAAACAAATCAGCCCCAGGATCCACAGAGTAATAACTCTGTAAAATGTGGAAATGCTCTGCACCTTTCTGAGTGTGGAGGCTCCTGGAGCAAGTCCTTGTTGTTTGATGTTGTGTTAGCAGAACTAGCACAGGCTTTATGGAAATCGTGGTTTTATTTAGTTCCAGCCTGAAATAAAACTGCTTGTTTGCTCTTCAGAAGATGAAGAGAATTCTGTTGAGTGACTTGCCTGTCACCTCATCCTGACATTGCCCCCACCCTGCCTTGGCTGTTCCTGAGTCCCTTCAGAGCTGGGTTTCTGTCCCCAGGGAGCTGAGCCTGATGCTGTGCAGATGCAGGCTGGCTGTGCCTGTAACTGCAGGAGCAGCAATTCAGAGGCTCTGGGCTGGGGGCTCTGCAGGCAGACTGGGATGTACTGGTGCTGCTCCAGCCCTCTCACACTCTGGGCCACTAGCCTGGGTCTCTGCTAGCTCAGGCACTGCTTCCCCAGGCTCTGGTTTGCTCCCTACATTTCAGCATTGGAGCTGGTGTTGATGGATGTTGGACTTGTCCAGCAGCCAAGCAGGAATTCCTCCTCCTTCCAAGCTCAGTGTGCAAGCCAAGAGCTCGACCACATTAGCTGGGGAACCACTGCATTTCCTGCCAGTGTCTGAGTGCAGCCTGGGGCATCTCATGCCTCACATGGATGGGGTTCAGCTGTTGAGAGGAAAGGCCCTTCCAGAAAAGCTCTTTGGGTCAGGGAGGGATGGATGGATGGATGGATGGCAGGAATAACGGGCTCACACTGTGAGTGCAGTGTCCGAGCACTTCTGTTCCCTGCCCCAGCCCAGCACATCCATGTGGGGTCTGAGGAGCTGTGGGTGCTGTGGGAGGTCGGGTGGCACTGAGGGGATGTGCCCCAAGCAGGGGACGTGCCTCCAGCTGGGCCCAATGCACAGGAACCCTGCTCCAAGGCACGCTCCTGCTGCAGCTCCACCATTGTGTGACCCAGCCCACGGGATTTCCTGTGCTGCTGGGGAAAGAGAGCACCAGGAGCTCTGCAGGATGGAAGTGTCTGCTGGGCTGGCATGGATTCTGCCAGGCCTGGGATTGTGTGGGATTCTGGCAGACCAGGGCATTGTCAGGGCAGAGATTGTGTAGGATTCTGCCAAGGCTGGGATTGTGTAGGATTCTGTCAGGACAAGGATCATGTAGGATTCTGGCAGAGCAGAGATTGTGTAGGATTCTGTCAGGCCAGGGATTGTGTAGGATTCTGCCAGGACAAGGATTTTGTAGGATTCTGTTAGAACAAAGATTGTGTAGGATTCTGCCAGGACAAGGATTGTGTAGGATTCTGTCAGGACAAAGATTGTGTAGGATTCTTCCAAGGCTGGGATTCTGTAGGATTCTGCCAGGACAAGGATTGTGTAGGATTCTGTCAGAGCAGAGATTGTGTAGGATTCTGGCAGAGCAGAGATTGTGTAGGATTCTGTCAGGACAAGGATTGTGTAGGATTCTGCCAGGACAGGGATTGGGATGGATTCTACCAGGACAAAGATTGTGTAGGATTCTACCAGGACAAGGATTCTGTAGGATTCTGCCAGGCCAGGGATTGTGTAGGATTCTGCCAGGACAAGGATTCTGTAGGATTCTGTCAGGGCAGGAGCACAGGCCCTCAGTCAAAGCAAACCCAGAAGGAGAACAAGGAGAATGCAGATCTGAAAGCACTCAGATAAATCAATGTCACATTGGAATAGCCCTGACTTTGGGATTTGCCTGCTGGATCCACGTTGTGCTGCTCACTTCAGGAGTCACTAATGTTTATTTTTGTCCTGCAGTGTGTGTTTAGGGAGCCTTCCCAATCAGAGCATCAATTAGGAACATTTGGAATGCTCTGGCTGTCTGCATGGCAGGAGGACAATAAGGTTCCTCTCTTTTTATGGCACAAACGAGCCCTGATGCTCATCATCTTTTTCTGGAAGGCAAGAAATTCTTTTACAATAATTACATCCATCTTCCTCCTTTTTAGGTCAGCTCTGAGATGCTGGGGAAAATCCCCATCCTAAAGACTCTTCGCTGGAGGGAGGAGCAGGCTGGCAAGGATGTCACCCTCCAAGATGAACACCCAGCCCTGGCACACACCAAGAGAGCAGCAATTTCACACAGGGAGGTGATGGCTGCAGATCCCCAGCCATGGGCTGCTCCAGGCTCAGCCCACGTGGGAAGTGATCCCATAAATCCCAAATCTGAGGGATCTGCCCCAATCACCACCGTGTATGTGGGGAATTTGCCCGGCAGCCTGAGGGTGAGCCAGCTGAAGAGTGCCCTGAGGGAGCTGCAGGTGGTTCCTGCTGCCCTGAAGTGGCAGGGAGCACAGCACAGAGCTTTCCTGGCCTACAGGGAGCAGGGGGCTGCTCACAGGGCTCTGTCCTCCTTGCAGGGCCTGAGCCTTGGGGGCAATGCCCTGAGAGTGGAGCTGGCCAAGAGCCACAGGAGCAAAGGGCAAGGAGAAATCGATGGTCACAAATGAGTATGGAGGGAAAAAAAACCCAAAACAACACAAAAAAGGTGTTTTCATTGTTTTGTGAGAAGCCAACCCGAAGTTTTAAGGTTTTTTGTAACCGTCAGGTTTAACAAAATCAAATTTCTGCACAAACTTTCCTCAGTTCTACACGTGGACATGCAAAGGTTTGTCCCCACAAAGGGACAAGGTGACAGAGGAGCCATTTCTCTATGAACAATTGCTCACAAAGTACCCACACTCTGGTTTGGTGCTGTCTGGTGGTTTTGTTAAGCCTGGCTTAAAGCCCTGCCCACCTGCAGCAAGGTGGTTGCAGTCACTCAGTTTAGGTTACACCTGCCCCTTGAGACCTGCCAGGTTAAAAGGCAGCAGCAGGAAATCTGTCCTGAGGGGAACAATTCTGTTTACTGAAAAATGGGCTTTGCCTGTTGGAAGTTTTCAGTTTATTTTTTATAAAAATGACCAGGGACAGAGAGATTGTTCTTTTTGTGCCTTGAAGAGTGGCTGTGGAAACACTGGCTTAGTTCTAGCTCTAGTAAGAGCTGGTAACATCAGGTGGGAAAGATGGGAGCCCTTTTCTCAGCTTTTTGCTAAATCAGCCCTTGGTAAACCTTATATTTATTATTTCAGAGGAAGCAAATCCCAATTTTCTCTGCTTTTCCCCAAAACTGCTGTTCTGTTGGATCAGATAATTATAAAATTATAATTTTATAATTTAGCTGTATAATTTTATAGTTCAGCTTCTTTTCTTGACTGTCTCTTCTAATGGGATGTGATTCCTTTGCCTCTGTGAAATAACATTATTATTATTATTATTATTATTATTATTATTATTATTATTATTATTATTATTATTGAAATGAAAAGCAGGCACACCATGGTCAGAACTTGTTGGTGCTCAGTCTGCCATGGAATTCTTTGGGACTTTGCTGGAGATTGATGCTTTGTCACCATCCCTGATGCTCTTCCACATCACAGTGAGGAGGGTGAGGCATCACCACCCAACTTCTCCAGCTGAAAATGCTCCCAGGCACTTTCCTGGACATGAACATTCCCTTCCAGTGGAATGGCCAATAATGATTTATCTCCTATGGCTCTTATTACCTTTTTTTTTTCCCTCTTGGGTTTCCTATTCCTGAAAAACAAGTTAAATTTTGGCCCAGCCATCCTTTCTAAACAGAAGCACTTTTGCCAGTGATGCTGGGCACGTAGTCAAAGTAAGCATCTAAATGGATTTTTTTTTTTTTAAAGTAAGAGTTGGAAAGTTTTTTTTTTCTTTTAGCCAGGGAGTACTGTTAAGTATATTTTAAGCAGATTATTATGCCTTGAGGGTCAGACATTTATTCAGTATTAAATATAAAGTTCTCATCGTTTGTGGCTCTGAAGGAAAGCTTTGGAGCTGCCCCAGCCCTGAGCCCAGCACAGGAAGGACAAAGAGGCACCAGGATGAGCAGAGGGATGGAGCAGCTCTGCTGGGAGGAAAGGTACAGAGAGCTGGGATTGTTCAGCCTGGAGGGAGGAAGGTTCAGGGGTGAGCTCATCACTTTCCAAGTGGAATTCACTCCTCTCCCAATGGAGAGGGAGGTTGGACAAGGGATGGAGGGACAGGACCCAGGGAACGGCTCCCACTGCCAGAGGGCAGGGTTAGAGGGGATATCAGGGAGAAACTCTCCCCTGGCAGGGTGGGCAGGCCCTGGCACAGGTGCCCAGAGCAGCTGGGGCTGCCCCTGCATCCCTGGCAGTGCCCAAGGCCAGGCTGGACAGGGCTTGGGGTACCCTGGGATGGTGGAAGTGTCCTTGTTCACAGCACAGGGGTTGGAACAGGATGATCTTTGAAATCCCTTCCAACCCAAAGCATTCTGTCATTCTGTGAACTTCTTGTAAGGTCAGCAAAGGATCTGGAACAAATCAGTAGTTCCATTCCATTCTTTGTACAGCTCCAAGTGATTTCCAGTATCACTGAGCCCAAATTCAGACTGCACAACCCTCTGGGTCCCATTGCAGGCCTTGGCATTCAAGGCTGAGAGCCAGGGTTATGTTACTGCCCAAACACACTCACTGCATCAGCAGCTTCCAAAGCAGAGGAAAGAAAAGCAAAAAAATAATTATCCATCCATGCCTGCCCTTTCCAAATGATGGCAAATTGAGTAATGAGATCATTTGCTGTTCCTTCTGCCTCTGGGATATTTCTTGCTCTGCTGAAGATATCCAGGTGACCTTAGCAGTTAAAAACCAGTGACTCTGCCAAAGAAAACTTCCAGCATCTCAAACTTCCCCTGTTGCATTTCAGGTGAAACCACCCTTTTCTGGTCACATTTGTGGGAATCACATCCTCTACCTTCTTTCCTTTCTTTCCATCTCGAGTTTCAGTGCAGGTCTGTTTGTGTGTTCTGTAAACCTGGTAACTTTGCTTGCTTTCCTGTCAGCCCAGCTGCAGCCAGGGCCCAGCTTTGTTTGGACAAACATCTGGATGTTTTTCTGTTTGCAGTTGTGGCTCTGGGTGAACCCACAGGTGAGCAGTGTCCAAAACCTTGGCTCTTTCCAGCCTGTCACTTCTTTCTGCCATGTGTTTCATTCAAGGTCACATTTCACTGTATTCACCCAATATCCTGTTGCTTTCCCAACTTGAGATTCAAACTCCAAACCCTGCTATGAGGAGGTGCTAACTAGGGGTGTGCAACAGGTTGGAAATCAGGAGGAATTTCTTCATGGAAAGGGTGGTCAGGGAGGTGGTGAAGGTGTCCAAGGAAGGGCTGGACCTGGCACTCAGTGCTCTGGGCTGGTGACAAGGTGGGGATGGGTCACAGATGGGATTTGATGATCTTGGAGCTCTTTTTCAACTTTTCTGATTCTATGAGCTGTGCTTAGGAAGAAAAATAATTACTGTAAGCTTTATTAGCATTTTGAACGGACTGGAAAAATGCTGCAGTATTTTTTGTATTTTTGATCAGGTTATTAATAAATGTCAAGGTCTTTCAGGTGCTGCCATCTCAGTCAGTAAATCCCTCTCTGAAATCAGGATGGGGCTCTTGGTGCTGCTCTTCTCCAGCTAAAAGACATGTCAGTGCCAAAGCTGCCAAACTGCAGTTGGATTAAATGAAATTAATGAAACACAAGAGTGGCCAGGGCACAGCCCTGCACGGCCTTCTGGTGTCTGCAGCTGTTTGATGTGGATTTGCTCTTGTGGGCTGACGTTAAAGGAAGCAGCAGATTGTGCAGAAAAAGTGAATGGGGCAGTGTGCCTGTGTCAGAGCTATTGTTCCAGGCTCTCTGCATGCTCAGAAAGGCATCACTTGGAGCAGAGTCTGGAGGGGTTTCTGTAACTCCACAAAATTCTGAAGTGCAGGAGATTTTATTGAATCCTTGGGTTCTGATCTTATAGGAAATCTCAAGGAATTAAAGCCTGCTTATGTTTTACTTTGGCCCAGGCCAAGGCTATGCAAGATACCAACAATGAAACCATAAAATCCATACCCTGAAATATTCTCTGAGTGAATGAACAGCCTTTAAAGACCAGAATATTTCCTCAAATCATAATCCCTCATTCTGTACCTGCTGTAGCTGTGACCTGTGATACCAAGATACCAACAATGAAACCATAAAATCCATACCCTGAAATATTCTCTGAGTGAATGAACATCATTTAAAGATCAGAATATTTCCTCAAATCAGAATCCCTCATTCTGTACCTGCTGTAGCTGTGACCTGTGCACAAAGACACAAAATGTGCCTCATCTCAGGGGCATCCTGGCCCAGTTTTATTGCTTGAGACTCATCAGAAAATCTTCAACAGTGGCAAAGCAGTGCCTGGATGCTGCAGAGCAGTCTGAAATGCTGCTGATGGATCTCCACTCTGCTTTCAATAGGGAGTGAAGTGATCCCTAGCAGCAGCAGCAGAGCTGTGTGAGGAGCAGAAACGTTCAGCAGTACAATGGGAAATGCTTTCCTGAGCCAACTTTGTTCCCAATAATTCAGGCTGAGGGCTCTCTATTCTCTGCACAGCCCGATGGCCTCGCCTGTCATGTGGTCAGGCACATTCTTTCCAGCTCCTTTCATGGCTCAAACATTTGGGATGCTGTTGTTGAACTGCTGTTGCTGCTCTCCCCTCTTTTTGAGGGGTCAGAGGAGGAAGATGCTGGTCTGGAGTGAGCCCCTGGGGCTGGGTTTGGGATCAGCAGTGACCACCAAGGTGTTCCATGAGGGGTGTGACCTTCCCAGGACCATTCTCCCTTTCTCCCTACCCTCATTTGTGGGAGAAACACAGAGAGAAACCAGCATGGGGTGAATGGAGGCTCCACCAGCTCCAGAGTGGAGAGCAGGGTGACTTTGGAGGGGTTTTTGTTGGAGGCCATCAGTCCCAGCGTGGTGTGTGGCACAGAGCAGTGAGGCAAGACTGGAATCTGCTAACAATGAGGCTGAGGTGGCTCTGTGCCACCCCAAAACTGCACAGGCGTGAGGGTTTTCCTCCAGCCAGCCATGTCCATGCATTTCCTGGCACAGGGACAAGGCCACACAGCTTCAAGCCACCAAAGACAACAGTAAACAAGCTGCCTTGCTGGGTAGGCTCTGAGTTACAAGAGTCAGACACTGTTTGTTTCCAGGGAAGGAGAAAGGGGAGAAGAAAATCTCTCACCATCAAGGCTTTTTCCTGCATCTCACATCCAGGTCCAGCATCTCCCTGACCCCCTCCCAACAAGCAGCCTGGAAGGACAGAGGTTTTCTCCCATTATCCCAATTTAAAAACTCAGGAAAGGGATGATTAAACACTGTCTCCAAGTCATGTCTTTATTTTGTGTATGCTTTTTTTTTTTTTTTTATTTCATCATCTTCTACTGCTCCAAAGGGAGAAACAAACGGCTTTTAGGGCAATATTTCCATTGAAAAATCCAGCAGTGGGGCCGTGTTTTCTCTCCCCAGGGGTGAGGAGGAAAAGCGCGCGCAGGGATTTCTCTCGTTCCGGTTCCTCCGAAGGAACAGCCCCTCACTGCACTGGAGGAAACATCTGTGCCCACGGCCACGTTCCTCAGGAGGCAAACCCCCCCTGCCTGGGAGGCTGCTGTGTACCAAATGCTTTGATTTCCTGGTTGCCATCTCTTCAAGATTATCTGCCTCCCAGAGAAGGGCAGCGTTTCCCATGTTCCCATGTGCAATGTCCGCGATGGCTGCTATAAACACCGTGGAACGTTTTCCCCGGCCCTCCTCTGACATAGGTAGCAAAATCTCTGCTTTTCATCTTTCAAAGCCCTGCAGAAATGTTTAGGGTCGTGTATCCTGCCATTGTTCTGGGCTGGGCATCCCACTGAAGCGCCTGGGAGAAATGAGTTCAGGATATGGATCTATCTCTGCTCCATCTCTGCTGCAGCCCCAGGAACATCCACATTTTACAGAGGGCAAGGCAGAGATGGCTCCTGATAGACTGGAGGCAACTGGGCATTCCCACCCCTTTGGAAAACAACAGGAGGACAGGCCAAAAACTCAGCAGGAGTTCTGAAATACCTCAACCAAGCCCCTCTTGGGATTTTCTGTGTGACAGAACCGGTGTTCCCAACGAGGATTTTGATACCTGCAGCATCAGGGTGGCTCTAATCCCACTGGTTCTCCTGCTCCAGAACTTTCCATCAAGATACACCTGGCAGGGACAAAGCACAGCTCCTGCTCTGGGAGACAAGGCACCAAAGAGAATTTTTTTTCACAGAATTTTGCCCCAGGAGCATCCATTTTACAGATGGAAAGGGAGAGATGGTTCCTGATAGACTGGGGGCAACTGGTGATTCCCACCCCTTGGAAAACAACAGGAGGACAGGCCAAAAAC